TTTGTAGAGGGACCTTCCGGTTTCCGGATCCACAGGGGAACCGACTAATCCGGAATCGAGCCAGGTAGGACCACAAGGGCGGCAAAGTTCTCCCTCAAGAGCAATCCACTTTCAAATGGTCTTTTCTTCAACCAATCTAAAAAAATTAATAAAAAGAAAAACAGTATGTAAATTAATAATAAATAATAAAATATAGTTAATAATTAACCAAAAAAGTACGATGACCCAAAAATAAATACAATTATACAACACACTCCTTTGTAGACAAACAACGAACATGTAGCCAACACCAACAATCACCAAAGGAAAATATTATAGTAGCTTTTCCTCTCTGTTTTAAGTCTTTTTGACCAAACATCTAGTGATACTATTGCGTCAAAATTAATGGAACAGCCCTCAGAAAAGATACAAAGGCATACAAAGGCCACTACACCAGAAAATAATGTGGGAATGTTAAAAATAAAATAAAATTAAAAAATAAAAATAAAAAATGAAAGGTCCTCCAAATTGCAGCACATGAAGAAAAACTGATATGAGAAGCACTTTTCTCTCAACTGGCCATTGCTTGTGAAGTAGCCTTCTTTATGGCTTCAGCATATGTCCTGTGCTGGTAAGTGAGAGTGGATTCGAGCAGATCCCAAAGCGATGTCTTCGGATTCCATCCTGAAAAACAGTCATTTTTAGGAAACACGGTTAGAAGTTAAATATTTCCAAAAATAAAAATAATAAGATGAAAAAAAAAGTATTACCGAGCTGGCGGTTGATTATGGTCATGTCGGGAATTCTCTTGTCACTGTCATCATACCCTTCACCGTAGAATTCTTTTGAGCTCACGTCAATCGTGGGTGTATCTACTGGAGATTCTCCGCTAACCTTTGTATAGACCTGCAAGCATACGATTGAAATAGGAATTTGAGAAAAGTTGCTTACTCAATGTTAGATGATCATATACGTAAAACAAAAGAGAAATTTGTGACTATTGAGATTGCCTGAGTCATCATTTCAGCAAGCTGTCTGACTGTGACTTCATTGTTAGGGTTGCCGACGTTGAATATGTGACCATTGGCCCTGGCCGGATTTTCCTGAGAAAAACCACCACTGAGTACGATCTTATACAGGTTAAAAGGTAAAAAGTAAGCAGTTGCAGAAAAGAAACAGAGAACATACAATCATCAAAAGAACAGCTTCGATGGCATCCTTAATATAAACAAAGGTTCTCTGTGATTGGCCTCCGTCCACAAGCTTCAGTGGTTCACGCCTTAAGAGATTCTTGTGGGGGAAAAAAAGTGAAATTAAAATGACATTGACTAAAATAAAAATCAAAAGAACTTCAGTAGCTACTGAATATGATCCTCACATTGCTGAAGCAGGCTAGAACTCTTGGTACACCCTCACTTGGGCCATCAATCCCAGGTATGAAATCCATCCTTGGGCCAATCCAGTTGAAGGGCCTCACGATTGTAAATTCCAGGCCATTCTCAGCACCCTCAGCTGTAATAACAAGAATGTTAGAAGATTTATACAAGAGCAGCTTAGTTTATAAAACACTCATAGAAAGAGAACAATATCATTAACCCACCATAGATCAGCCTCTCAATTAACTGTTTTGCACATGCATATGACCACCTCTGTTTCTCAATAGGCCCGAAAATGCAAGGTGATGCATCTTCCGTAAGGACATAGTACGCAGGGTCCTGGTGAAAGAAGAAGAATGATGATGAGACACTTTCTCGAGAAACCATCTCATTAAGCCACAGATAAAACTGTAACCATAATGTTCATCTTGGTGATTCATAAACAGAACCAAAAAAATAAAAGAAAAAAATCAACCTGAGTGTTATATATTAAACAACATTGACATGAAAATGGTCATCGTATGCAGAAAGTCAACCAATACAAAGTAGTTTGCAATTAGAATCAGTTTGAGCTGTTTTATACAGCAAAACAATCATGAATTTTAACACTTCAGTTTCATTTTATTTTTCCATTGTCGATAATAAAAAAGAAGCTTTAAGAGCATAACAAGATCCATCAAATAACCTTCTCTTAGCTTAAATACATGGTACAATTAACCCGTACTAATACAACCAAATCACTGTTACATTATTCCAATTTACACCAGAAGATAATGATTTAAAACACTGACATTTCCCTTACAAACCTTATTCTCAGTCGGCGTTTCATTGTGAAAAACATATACAAGTAGCCTAGAGTTTGAAAAAAAAAAAAACGCACAAATAGGTTGCATATACAAGTGACACAAGACAGCCACACACATTTTCACCATCTGTCAGCAGAACAAGATATAGAGAGGAAAACTAAAAGAATACTACAAAGATTAAAGGTGCGTGCTATGAGCTATACTCCAGTCACTTGAAAGTTTTACAAAAATCTTTTATTACGAGATGGATCACAATGTGCGACTTCTCATATAGCATAAAAGGCACTTCACAAGCAGAACTATTCAACCACTCCAAGATAATTTTCCATGAGGAAGAAGAAGAGGAAAACTACAACAACATGGTTCAGCAGGAAAGACATAAAAAAAGCTTCTATGTAACAAACCAGGGATCATACTTAGCAAACCTACATTTATGTTATAGACAACGGATCTTCCCTGAGATAAATCTAATACAGCATGCCGACAAAGAAAAGGCTCACCTGACGTAAAGGACTATCCTTGGGTAAAAAGCAACCAATCGTTTTCCCATAAACTTCACAAGTGGAAAAATGTATGAGACGTTTGCCATTTTCCGAACAGTATTTAACCTAAACACAGAAAAGAAAAGAAAACATATCAACTTCAGTGACCCATTTAGTGCATATCTCAATCAGAAGGATTAAACAACTCAAGGCAAAAACATTTACTAACATGAAACACTTACCACCGGCAGAGCATCAATAAAATTGCTATAGATTGTGTCAAGTGGACGTGTGTTGTAATCGGCTGGTGTGCATATAGCAGCAAGGTTTATGGTCTAAGCAATAAAGAGATTTCAAGATTTAGTCTCGGTCAAAGCCATAGAAAACAAATACATTTATTATATACTATTTAAACAAACAGACCCCTGCCACAGTTATAAAGCAAAAATAGAACAAAATCATTGAACGTGATCTAGGAAAAATCAGTAGCGTGTAGCTATTCAAAGTGGAGCTAAGTCCAGAAACAGCAAGAAATATAAAGAAAAAAAACACAGTCGAAAAAGAAGACCTGTTCGCCGTAAACAAATTTCTCTAGCCTCACAAAATGTGTAACTAGATCCATGGATACTAAAAGTCCAATCAAGATCTAAAACGAGCTTCAGCTTTTGAAAAACATGCCCACTAAGTGAAACTGTTCAATATATACATTTGGATATCCACCGACACTGAAATTAAATAAGAGAAATGCCAACAATGGAGGACAAACGGAAAACTACATTAAAAATCGACACGAACAACCTAGATCCGAAGGCTAGAGCAGCTTCGAACAATACTCAGTAACAAAAGATGCGCAAAAATTAAACAGAAACAGCGAAGGAGAAATCAGTTACAAGATCCGCCATGCGAATGAGGCCTTCGAGACGGGAGTCATTCTTGATGTTGAGGCGGTGGAACTGGATGCGATCGGCCCAGGGCAAGGAGGACGGCTCGAGGAGGTGGTTGATCTTGTCACTGTACACGTCCACCGCCAGCACCTTGTGCGGCGTCTCCGCCATCAGCTTCTCACACAGATGCGAGCCGATGAAACCTCCGGCGCCAATCATGCATATGGTGATCGGTTTTATCGCGTTCCCGTCCAGATCTACTCTTCCGCTCGCCATTTCAGCGCGATTATTCGGCAGCTTTCTCTTGAATGCGTGTGTAGATTCTCAAGGGAGATCTTATTGGGAAATGCTGAGGTATTTAAAGGCTGAGGGGAAAATGGAAGGAGGGAGGAGATGTCGGCATTGATATTAGCTCAGATGCGAGGGAATGGCCCCTACTAACCGAACCAATCCCTCGTCAGCTCGAGTCAAGGCTTGTTTGGTTTTGAAAAAAAGAAAAAAAAATGCTTGTTCAATTTAAAATGAAAAATAATTTTTATATAATTATTTGAATTTTCAACTTATAACTCGAGTTATTAAAACTTGAATTTAATTTGTTAACTTTGATTATGAGTTAGAAGTCAAGCTTATTTATCGACTCGTTTATTAATATATAAAAATGATAAGCATTTAAAGTAAATAGTATGTGAAATTTGTTATAAAAAAATTATTAAGACTAATGTTTGATAGACAAATAAGCTAGCTTATATTTATTTGGTTAGCTTTTAAGCTTTTTCTATTCGAATAAGCCTCGTTTGGTAGGACGAGCTTATAAAAAAAGCTCAAGTTTATTTGATAAACTTCTTTAGGTAGTTTTTCAAATAAGCTAGTTGAGTTTTTTATTCCAGCTAGCTTATCAGCTAATGTTACCTACCATTTTTATCATATAAGCTAGCTATTCAACTGTAAGTCATAAACTATAAGCTATAAGCTCGAGAATTCCTGATAAGCTACAAGCTAGCTTATCATTTAGTTTTACCAAACATAGCCTAAAATATTAAACATTTAAATTATAACTTAATATTCACACCTTCATTGATACGAGGAGCTCAGTCGATGTGATGTTTTATGATCGCTTCACTCAAATCAACAAAGAGCTGAATCTGGAGCTAAAGCCGACAGTGATAGCTTTCTATGGATTTAACGGAGGTAAAGTAATGCCCATGGGAGAGGTAAGACTATCTATTTCCTTGGGGTCGGGACCTCCTCGACCTTCATCCTTGTCACTCATGTCGACCGAGTCTTCTCTACATCTCCTCTTTTGTTTTCTCCTCAGCCTTTCTTGATACACAAATTCCTTCGACTCCCCTGCCCTGATCAAGCGCTCCATCTCGTCCTTCAAATGCCTAAAATTTTCTGTAGTATGGCTGTATTAATCCTTATGGAACCTGGTATATCGACTTGACTTGGGTTGAGTAGGTCCCTCGCTCCTCGACCTTGGCCATGTCACGTCTCTGCCATCCAAATTCTTCTCGATTGGTTCCAGCACCTCAAACAACTTTTTGGTTTTCAGCGGTGTATACTTATGAAACCTATGATCACTCATCATACGTCAAGTTTGTCTCCCTAAAATTGGCTTGTAATGACACCTCAAGATTTCCCTCAAGAAAGGGTGTCCTCAGTCTCGTCCTATTGGTCTGCCATCCACTTTGGCCTGCAACTAGCACAACTGTTCATCTATCCTCTCCAAGGCCCGATCCACCTGAGCTCCCTTCTTCCAAAGCTCGATGCATCCTCCTCCTTGTTTGCTGGTGTCCTCCCACAATCGTGGTCGGCGGTGGTAGCGGCGTGCGAGGAATAGTGTGTGGCCTGCTGCACTGCCTCCGCTGCAACCGCCTTAATGATCATTTTGTCCATGTCCTCCTGGGTCATCGTCACCTACTGTCGGCTAACGCGCTCTTTATCCGTACTTGGTTATATTACTGGCTGCACCACCCTTCCCTCTGGTTGAACTCCGGCTAGATCTGGCTACGATTGTGCTTGCACAACTGCTTCTTGCAATGCCCAAGCTTCCTGTGCACTGCTCTAGCCCCTCAGCTACAGAAACCACCGACGAACTCACAAAGCCCTGAGGAGGAAGCATCGGGGTCATCAGCATTGTGGAAGGTCTAGACAAGCTCGGAGGAGGGCCAACTCCAAACAGACGCGTGGTTGTCCATGCATCATCAAATGTAGGTTCCAAATTTCTTCTTGGGATTTTGTCTGCCATGGCTATGGTGAACATAAGCTTTTCGAACAGACAGCACCAAAGTGGTATCAATAAGACCTCCAACAGGCTAGAATGAGCTGAAAACGCATGTATCTCGAGCTGGTTGCCCCTCGAAGATGCAGAACTCTCACACTGGTAAGGGTTTACGGTGAACAACCTCAGATGTTTAAGTAAGTGTAGAAGATGAAGTGTAGAAAGCTTTTTCTCTCAGTAATATGATATGTATAATAAAAAAGGGTAATGTGTTTCAAGGAATACCTCACTTCCTTATATAGGGAGAAGATACCTTAGGGTCCAAGTCAGACACGTGAGTTTTCTGATAGCTAGCGCATGAGTTGCCTCGGTTGTCAGGGCTGTCAGAGCCACCCGGGCTGTCAGAGACGGTTATGAGGCGTAGACCACTCGGGTGGTGCCACGTGGTTTTACCGTGTGGGGATTTAATTTCCCTAAGATTCCTTCTTATCGTCTTAGTCATGTCCACAAGATAGTCCAACCATACCTTTGACCCCTATTATCTCAAGGTGAAAGCTCCTCGATCCGTATCTCGTTTTCCACTCACCTGGTCGATCCTTCAACCAGGTGCTCCTTCGATTCGAATGCCCCCTGAGCCCCTTTGGGCTCCGATTCGACCTGCTGGTGTTTTATGAATCTTCACCGTCTCCTTCTACCTGAGGGTTTTTTCGACCTGAGGGTTCTTCACTCCCCGCTTGACCTAATAACCAGCCCGATTTAGTTTAGACGTCCTTCCAGTCTAGTCGACCAGGTATGATTATCCCATATCAAATATGCTAAAAGATTATCACATAATGAATATTTAAATATGTAAGATGTTTTCTAGAATACTATTTACAAATTAGCACAACTTTTTAGGTAATTATAACATGTTAAATGCACTGAAAAAGGTACACTTTAGGTATAATAAATTTATATGTTTTTGCGGAGGTTATTTTAATAGACATTTGATACGTGATTCATAACAATATTATGAATATTGATAGCATATGTGTCCATTTTGCGCATAATCATGCTTTTAATTAATGATAACAAGTTTATTGGCTTGTTAGAAAAACCCTCTCGTCTGCAGATCCCCTTTTTTCATCCCTCTCGTCCGCCGTCAATTTGAGTCTCGATTGTGCCCTCCCACCAGAGTTTCGCGGCTTCTCATCCCCAATTTAGGTTGGTTGTGGTCGATCTGGCTTCTTGGCGGCCCTACCTCGACGTGGTGTGTCCCTGAGCGTTGGAGGCCATAGCAGAGGGTGTTGAGGTGTCAGCGAGTCGTCGCCTCTTCTTCGGTCGCTGGCTTAGGGTGCTGTCTTGGCCGCATTTTAGGGCCATGGAACGTATCTAGCTCCCACATTGATCCGACCGATCATCTGGAGTTGTGTTCGAGTGGGTCCTGGTTAGCCGGCATTGGTCAGGAGTTTCCAGTGTCGTGCTTGGAACCGAATCTTTAGGGTTTGGGTTGTTGGTCAGC